GCAGGTGTTTTCTGCCTTAAAACAAGCAACTCAGTAAAGCTTCCTGGGGTAACTTGTGTCTCAACATCATAGCTGCCTGATAGAGAAGCACAGAAAAAATGAACAATGCATGTATAATAAATACCCAATAATTTCTACCACTTGTATCTGAATAGTGCCCTTAGTTTACAATAACAAAAGAATTCTGTCATCATGTAACATTATAATCTTTATGAAGAAACATAAGAACCTCATATACTTTAAATTGATATCACAGTTCTAAGAAGTAGTTAGAAAGTAAGCATTGTTTATCACATTATTATGTAATCTCTTAAGAGATCATTTTTTTCTACCTCCTTATTAGCAGCAACATGGTGCTGATATTTTATTCCATAGTTAAAATTTAATATCTATGTTGAATTCAAATTGTATGGGCTTTATATTGGTAACTTTCTAAAGAGACAAAAGCTGAGGTGAGACTATTGGAAATTCTGTGCCACCCTATCCTACTCTTGAAAGATTTCCCCACTCACATTAAGGGAAACCCATAGCGCCAGTAGGAGGAGCAAGAAAGTAGGAGGTGTAGAAAGATAAGAAAAAGGATGACTAGTAGTATAACAGTGATAATTACTAATACTAGCTGTCATTAATTACTTATACTAGCTGTTGTTATTAACTTGAAGAAAGCTTTGAATGCAAGTCAATGGTTGTGAAACCCATTTTCTAATTGTTTATTATGCAAAATAATTGTAAACCCAAGTTGCTTTCTATTCAATTAAATATTAGATTCTCAGATAATTTACATATATTTTAATAGAAAAGGACACTTGGCAAATGTATCAAGTGTTAAAAATGCATATAGCCATTGGTTTTATAAGAAATTTACATGAATTCATACAGAGAAAAAAAATCAAGATATACATATTTAATATTTATGGAAATATTCATAAAATATACACTGAAAGTAATTAAACGTCTTAAATGAAGGAATAATTAAAACCTTATATTAGATGCATACTGTAACATTATAATAATTTTATCAATACAATATTCAATTACAGTCAGCTATAATACAAGTAAAACGAGGTAGAAAATAATAAATATTACAAGATGACACGTTTTTTGTAGGAGGAAAAGCACATACAATAAGAACAAAATTGTCTAAGTAAATGTCACAAGTGTACATTGAGCTATAAAAATAGAACAAAAACCATGTTGAAAACATACATAGTTTACCATGATAACATCTCTAGACAGACATTTTATTTAAAAATTTGTTTTCTTTTTAGAACTTTTAATACTTTTATAAAATTCCTTACATAAATAGTGTTGTTTTTTTTTAAGTTGTCTCAGAATGGGAAACAATTAGTCCACATCAATAATGAATCTTTAAACCGTGGTTATATTTTTTTTAACACTGGGTGGATGAAGAAAGCTCTGAGCATCAAGCCACTGAGACAAAACACTGAACATAAGTTACATCAAATGTGGCTACAGGTGACTGCAATCACACACAATACCTGGGTATCCCATGTATTACCTGGAACAGTACTACAATAACTCTGATATCATTAACACCAATTTCTTAAGATTAGAAGTCATATTTTTAAAAATACTCAGCCATATGTG